CATTAAGAACATGAGAATTTTGCGCAACTGTTATAAGCCACCAAACGGAAAGTGTTTTTTAAACGTTATTTCTGTGCGTAGATTTCGTTATGGCTCCGTTGGGCGGAATTGTTGGCCAAACAAGTCGATCACTTTGCCTCGTGTGCTTTTGTGTCACATGGTAGACGCCAAACAATTGCTTCTACCATGACTATGGGTCAAACGTAAAATATGAGCAGGCAGTAAGGAGAGACCTATGCAGTGAAGATAGGCATGAGTCTACGCAGACGAAAATTTTCCTCCATTTTTGATTGTCCGCTTCTTATTATTAGGCTGCGTTCATACTGATCCCGAAGTTCGGGAACAGTTCCAGCACAGCGCTCGAACTTAGCGTTGTGCTGACTGTTCGCGGATTACGAAATCAGTATGAACGCAGCCTTAGGCCCGTATGCACGTACATCCCCGCGGGGAGGGGAGGGGATCTGAGAGGGGAAGCGTCATATCTCGCTAGTCTATATATCTTTCTTCTTCTTTCTAAGTCTTATTTTTGAAGGTTCTCATACACTGATACTTGCGCATAATAGATGCCAGGTTACTGCTACACAAGAATAAATATTCACTATTTCTTCTGATCCCCTGGGGATCCCCAGGAGATCACCTCACAATTTCAAAGTCATTTATCTTCCTGAAAACTCAATGGAAATGCTTCAAAACTGTACTGAGGATATACTACAGCACTGCTAAACATGTTTGTAATAGAAATGAGTGAAATCTCAAGATATCAAAATTTTCGATGAACCGCTGCTCGCGAGCCAGGGATTATCGAGAAAATCAAATTTTTCAGATTCCATTTCTTCTGTCGAAAACATGCTCAGCAGTATCGTAGTATATCTTTAGTACAATTCTGCAGCCTTTTCATTGATTTTTCAGGAAGATAAATGACTTTGAAAATGTGGGGTGATCCCCTGGGGATCCCCAGGGGATCAGATGAAATAGTGAATATCTATTCTTGTATGGCAGTAACCTGGCTCCGTTATGCGCAGGTATCAGTGTCCGAGAAACTACATAAGCAAGATAGAGAAAGAAGGAGAAAGATATGTAGACTAGCGAGATATGACGCTTCCCCTCTCAGATCCCCTCCCCTCCCCGCGGAAATGTACCTGCATACGGGCCTTAGAGTGGATAGAACATGTATAAAAATATTGCAATCTGTTGCTGAGATCACGACCTTTTTTTGCGCGGTCCGGATTAGACTCACTCTGCACACCAAGAAGACAAGACCTTATGGTGGGCAGGTTGGACAGATAGGATGTCAGTATGGTATGCAAATTTAGAGCAGTGGCTCTGTCCACTCACATGCTTGTCCAGTCACGGGAAATATGGCCTAAGCGGGATTCCAAATTTGTCAACAAATTCATCAGCTTCATCCGTGGCAGAGTTCTGGCAGTAATACCAATCCAAAACTATTGGTTTACATGTCGCTAAATGTGGTTTTGAGGCGATGCCTTCCTATCAAACGAGAGTATCGCATTCACTTAGTCACAGTAATCTCACTAAATCCGCTACGAGAAATTTTCGCCAGACATCGCAACAAGGATGAACATCTACGACTTGTAGGCTTCACAATTCACGCTCATTGTCTGAAGATGACTAGTAGAGCGATGTGGAAATATAGAGTTGCTGTGCTGTTTAGTCTGTTTTCCCTGGTAGGATCACGTGTTGTGTAGCCTCTTTCCCCGCACTAGTCCTGAGCGGATGGTGGGGGGTTTTATATAGCAATGTGCAAGCATTCCGCATCCATGAGATTGGCGCTATTCTAACATCCAGGCCTCAAATTTCAAAGCTGTGATTTTTGCTGGAACACAATAGATGGGCATTCTCCCACACGTTGTTTACGAAAATTTTCCGACAACTTACTTTTTTCTTGCATTGTGTGTCGGGGTCAAAACCACAGACTTGGCTTTGATTGGTCTAAGAGGGTTATCTGGTACGCTAAACACAAACAGCATACTTATCTTTGCATAACGAGGCTTGTTCGTAGAGTTCTGGAAGGTGTACGGCAGGAGGCCATGGATTTGCCGTGGACCTCGTCCTTTTCGGGCAGATGTGCCTATGCTAGGTGATTACAAAGTGATGAACAGTGATGATGGGTACTAGCATGGTGCTAACTCTTTTTGCATATTTGCAACGCCAGCGCAAAAACGCGCTTCAATGATCAGTTTCAGTGCGACGCGGACTGCGGCGCGTACTGAGCCGACGGTGACGGGCGGCGGGCCGGTCCTCCTGTTGGATGACCTTTCAAAGCCTAAGCATTGAGGAAGTCTTTATATTACACCTTTGTACCACTTATTTTCCTTCTTTCACTCCCGCTCCCGTTACACATGTAAGCTTGCGTAAGCATTCATTTCAGGCCCAATTACCCCCTTTACTTTTCTAGGTCAGAAATAACCAAAACCCCCTTCACCTGGAGGGGACTCTGCTCCTTCTATCGCACATATGAATTTTGGTGGTATGCAAGGATGCTAATATCATGAACCAGTTATCGATTGCAATGGGCAAAAAATTCTTTATTACGAAGACCTTCGCAGCATGATAAAAAATGCCACAAGCATCACTGCAAGGACTAGCTGAAACTAATTATCGTTACAACGTCGAAATTAGTGTTTTTATGTTATATGAAGCTTTTTAACCTTATGCAGCCTTCACATACCTACATTTCCCGATTCGATACTGCGAAGCTGTACCAGGGTAATCCAAAAGTATTAGGGCACCTAAAGCATGAATGCAGTTTTTTCGAACAAAAACCTAATTGGAAGTCCGAGTTTTGGCAGATGTTAGTACATAACAAAACCTTCTGATCGAGGTCTATAGGTGGACAATATCACACGGCATTAATTTCATGAGCGCTTATGATCAAAGCTCATCACCTCAAGTAATTCTGAATTCTGAGACACGAGGCCTGGTGGTTTCAACGAACTTTATCACGCTCTATTCACATGTCAATTTGCGTAACTTTTCTCATTTTCGAAATAATTGTCGGCCAGAACATGTTTTTGGCCTAATAATCTGCCCCAAATTTCGCACTTTTTCGAATTAAGTGCCTCTTTCATACAAAATTATGGAGAGTTTTGCACATTCAAAAAATCTTAAGAAAGAGCTCGGAAAGCTCTTTCGATTGTGCAATATGTATAAGAACTGTGGAGGATAGCAGCAGATATTTGCATTGCGTCCAAAAAGTCTCTCTGACTTCTTCGAAGCGCTGCTTGAAGGTTAGTGACGGAGGGCTACAAGGTATTCGCAGAGTAAGTGCGAAGGCCACTTTGTGAAGAAGCTTTCAAATTGCTGGTCGTTCATATTTAGTCGGAAGAGACCTTAAAAATGTTCAAAAAATCAAAGTGCCTTATTATCTTGGATCACTCTAATAGATGCTTATATTCAGGAATGGAGGCAGTAGACCAAATCTGACATAGCGTAAATTAATATTGGATAGTTGCCGAAATATCAGTATGAAGTGGGAGCAATTGTGTAAGTTCCTCCCCTCCTCTCCCCTCTCCATTACCCCTGCCTACAGTATACTAGACGCCAGGTGCGAGACTTCACAACCCATAAGTGTTCACATGTCGCTCCTCGGAATTGCTCTTCGTATGAAAAGTCACTCACCCAACAATTTCGAGCCTCAAAACTCAGATTCTGAAATTGATATGATAAGCACAAAGTATGTATAAGCTTTTAAGATTTCGTGTTTGACTAGAAAAGTTCGCAACCCTATGCCTTGCCCAATTTATATCCACGCAAACGTCATTTTGCAAAGGCTGTTTCAGTTACAGTCTTTCTGGCGTTCTAGCTCCAAAGCCCCACAAACCTTGCAAAAAATTCAAATAGTTTAGCACGAAGGCATCATCATACAAGCAATGCAGTCGTATTATCGCAGCTCTTTGCGAGAAGCAAATGAGCTGTGAGGCTTAGAAATGCATTAGAGTTTTGAAAAAGGTTGGTGAAAACGCAACATGTACAGTGGTTTTTCCCAAGCGTTTACGGAAAGCTATCAAAAAAGCTCAATCTATCTCGTAGCCGTGATAGAAGCTAAATAGAGCCTTGAACCACAGAAAAACAAAAATTTTGTGAACACACTGACTGAAAAAGCGTTTTAAGCCATCTGAGGAACGCTCCGCTTTTCAAACTGCATCAGTGTGTAGCAGTTCTTTTAAACCTTGTGAGTAGTTCCGAGGCCTATGTCCGTACCATTAGGAACCGCACCTCAGTAGGCGTCATTGGTCTAGTCACTCACCGTCGCGCGTGCTTCACAAAAGCAAAATGTAATAATTTTGTTGAATGCTAATTCGACGATTTGTAGCATCAGGCGGGATTTGCCAGAAAAATCCTTTGATATAACTGCGTTGGGGCTTCGTGACCTAATTAGGGCTAGAGAATAACCATAAAGCACGTTCGCGAAAGAGACGCAAATTGGTGGGTGCGAGCGGTCGCCTTCCAGCCATTTCGTTCAATTAGTACTTTAGAAAAGTGAAAGGAACATTCTGGCGTTATTAGACTTGGATGCCTCTGCGTGCAGTCAAGATACAATTTTGTTACTTCTCTGTGAGTCTTACCTAATGCCTCATTTTCAACAAAGTCCGGGGAGCAAATTTATAGAACCTTGTACCAATCAATGATTGGATACGTATGCATAGAATGTAGATGTAAGAATACGCGGAATTCTTGCAAGCAAAACAAAGTAAACCATCGGGGCATCCTGAATTTTTTCGTTCTCATGTGTTTGAGAAGGCTATGATATTGACCTTGAAAACTTGGTCTAAAATGGGGTACCCTTGCAGCATCCCATTTTTTTAAATTAGACTAAATTTTTGACTAACAGCTCGAGCATTCAATTCCGAGCTTTTCAAGTATTAATGTAGAGTGAAGAAATGGGAAAAGGTATGTAGGAATAAACCAGCAAAACTGAATAGGGAAACTGAACGAGCTTCGAATGGCCTTTATAACGCACTTGATAATTTTTTTTACAGGCCCATTCAAAAAGGTAGCAATTATACGCTTTACGAAGCCGAAACAGCCACTATAGCGACGACTTCTGCAACCACTACTACAACTATTGCATCAACTACCATTGCCTCCACAGCAGCTACCACTAAGATCACTACCAGCTTAGCCACCACACCTACAGTACCCACAGGCACACCATGTCCAACAGCTCCAACAACTCCGTGTCCAACAGCTCCAACAACTCCGTGTCCGACCTATCCGCCAGCGAGAGCGAAAAGGGAGGTGAAGACAGTAAATGTGGACGTGTTTGTGAAGAGAGGAAAGTTACCCAAAGCTGCACCTGGTAAGCATACTTTACATTAGTAACAGCTATTCAAGTCATTAGGGTGTGAGATATCAGAGGAACCTCCATAGCATAATCGGTATAGCTGTATTTCCATCAGCATATGAAGACAAGACTTATAGTCTCAGAAAAGGTCTCATGCAAGGAACGCAAAGAGCCAGATTAGGAATTTAAAAATATTAGGCTGGAAACTAAGTTTTGCAACTGGTTTCATAACTTCACTCTCTTTGGATATGGCGCACCCAAACTTTGGCATTCTGTAGAGGGCAATGTGAGTTACAAGCGAGCACAAATTGTCTAAATTTTGAACACAAAATAGAAAAGTTTCAGGCGTTTTTCGAAAACTAGTGAAATTTGAGAATTTTTGGGGTTTCGAGCTAAAATGAAGCAGCCTAGACCATGCGCAGTAATCCGGATTCGTCTACAAATTATTGCTGGAGGTTGACTCCTTTGGCCTATTAAGAAAGAAACAAAATTTAGGTGCATGTCGAGATTTGGCATCCTCATAAAATCGAACGAGTCGATGTACGCATGAGCTGCGGGGGACGACCGTCAATGATTAAAGAGTCTGAAGCTCAAATTCCGCCAATACTTTACATAGTAAGCTTATTTGACCTGCCAAACGCGAATATTACATTCATTTGTTGAATCAACGCCTTTTTCCTTGTTTAGGGTACAACCCCATATCGTACACCTACAGTAATCCTACAAAAAAGCCCTTATCACGCAATTTCATTATCGTTTTCGTAATCAGCATGTCGGATAACACCCCTATGCCAAGTTTCAGCCAAATCCGTCAAACTTTGAATTCTTCCCCTTTAAACCATGCACCTACCGTAACCTTCACTGCGACGTCAGAACTTGGTAGGACAGCAGCTGCGCTTGTAGCTTACGTAATAACCAACGCAGTGGCAAAATTTGAGTGCGCCATGTTGAGTGAGAGGGAAGTTATGAGAACAGTTGCAAAACTTAGTTTCCAACCTAATAAAAGGTAAACTCAACAAGGTAGGCTCGCAAAATCAAAGTGGCCGATCACTACAAGATGCAAATCATACGAAGTGCTCAAAGCGCCGATTTGAAATCTACCTTTCACATCTAGAGAATGCTTTTGGGAAATAGATTTTAGGTGAATTAAGTTTAAATTGCGGTAAGTTTGCAAGACTAGCCAGAATTATCAACACCAGAGCATTCAAAACTCTGACCTATTAGGGTGAACGGTAAAAAATGGGACACTTACGAAATAACTGGGGGTTTCTCAAGAATGAGAAGCGATTAGACTTTCTTATATTGAAAGATGTTAGAACATGTTATTCTCTTTCAGATGTTACCTATATAAGGTCATTTACAGAGTTAATAATTTTTATACTTGCTGAAATACAAAGTTAGTCACTTCGATAAATTATGAAGTTTGATCAGTATCTGCGCAGCGAAACATCTGAGACCACCCAAAGTACCACTGGTGGAGTGGGCTTGGGACAATCACTAAACCCACGACGGCTTGGTGGCCTCACCCTTCAAAGTCAGGAGATATGGCCATTAGCAGCTTTGAGGACAAAGACACGCGCTCTTCAATTCTTTGCAAGTGAACGCATGTCTTCTAAGTACCATCTAATAGAGCTTTTCACGCTCTATCCATCCGTGTGCAACATACCTAAAATTTTATCTATCTCCGGAAAATGTAAGGCAAAACATGATTTTTTGGTTTTTTTGCGTCGAAAATAGCTATTTTTCAGGTTTTTTTCGCTTTTTTCCTGAAATTGAAAAGAAATCTCGTGCACTCAACATATCGTTTCAAAGAGCATGAAGAGCTCTTTCGAATGGTATGTCACTTGCATTACGACTTTACGGTATAGCAGCGCCAGATTGAGAACTGTTCCAAAAATCTTGTCTGAGTTGTTCACGGCACCACGCGTACGGTTATGAGAGAGGAGCGGTAACGCGATGCCAGAATAATAGGCGAAGGTCGGTTATGTAAGCGATGTTTGAGTTGCAGCCTACTTATTGTTGGTGAGAACAAAAAACCTCAAAATGTGAAAAAAAACCAAGCTGTCCCATTTTTTACCGTTCACCCTAATACTTGGAACAGCTTATCCATGCTTAATGTGATGCTTTCCTACTTCTAGTGTTATTCTGTAGTACAAACGGCATTTAAACAATTTCCTCGACTTCAATGATAAAAACCCATAATCTCCTTCCCAAAAGCGTTCTGCAGATAGGAGAAAGAGATTTGAAATCAGCGTTCCAAGTTCTTTCAGAAGTTGTGCATCATACGTTAACTGGCCACTTCGACTTCGCCCCCCCCCCCTTGTCTTACTGGAAGTTCGAGACATTCGTTTGAAACAGCTACGTTTTTACGTAACAGTGTGTGGAGGGAATCTCAATACTTCTTCCTCAGTGCTTGTTTGTAGGATTCCATTGTCTGTGGATTTCGGCTTTATAGACACGCGTTTACAGACATAGTTTTGTTATTTTTTTATGACTCAAAGTCTCTTGATTTCAGGTGAGAATCAAATCTGTTCCAACAACATAGGGATGACAGACTCATTGAGGACGCTTTTCCTTAACATGCATAATTATCGCAGGTGGCTGTAGACCATTAATTTTGAAGCTGTTATTAAGAGCCCGTAATCAGTTTAAACTCAGTATGTTTCAGAGCCAAGCTAGCTTTGGGAAAAGTCATTAGTTATAATCGTAAGCGCATGCCACCAGCCAAAAATATTTTCAAATTGGTGGGTAAGCAAATTGTTACCACTAAAATTTGATTCAACTCCCTGTCAGAGCTATGCCTGCGGACTGGAAGCAGCGGCTTTGCGCTACGCTACCTATTGCCCATCGACAAAGTCTAAAGCGAATGTTAGACCGCTTCAAGGAGAAAACTTTTTACGTCTTGCTAAAGTCGGCTTTTCAAGTTTTGCAGATGCAGTAAACATGGTAAGTTAGGCACGCTGAAACGACGTTGGCTTAACTTGTTCACTAGACTGTTTACGATTGGTGGGATATTGTCAATGATACTCCTGTCATTGACAACACAGCAAAACTCCTTATTCGCCGTCTTCGCTCTCCTATAGCAACTTTTACGCAGGTAAGCTTGTAATCATAATGAATAAGTTAAACAAAACCTGAAAATATAGATGGCATGGGCAACCACTAGATTTTTGGGATGTGCTATAGCCGACTGCAATTCATACTATGTATCTGTCTGTAGATATTCTCCAGAGTGAGTCTTCAATCCCAAAAACTGCATTAGTCCTAAAAAACTTTTTCAGGGGAAATGTCATCGGAGAAATGGTCTACAAGCCTGGCCGTACTTGCACTGAATGCAAGCGTGGTACAACGTGCGAAGAAGAACTGGGGCTATGTGTCTAAGAAACTGGCAACCACCACACGAGAATTATTTTTTACATCCTATGAAGTGCGTATGTTTGTCAAAAATCATGTACCTTACTTATGACTACCAAGAAGGGCGTCTAAACGCAAATTCTTCAACATCTGTGTTGAATAGGTTCTCTAATAAAATATGCGTCGGTTGCCATCTTCGTTTGTGTGTCCTTCTGTGAAGTCCTGCCTTCACATAAAACGGGCTCTTGTATCAAACAGCTACTTAAAAGCAGTGGGTCGGCAGAATGAGACCCGCGGTAGAACAAGATCACAGGGTAGAAGCCCCATAGTGGAACCTGTGGGCCAAAGTTCGCTCTTTCTCTGTTCTAACCCCCGAAATTTCCACGCGAAGGTAGCGCTAATTTTCGCTCCTCTCCGACCCGCCCACCTACAAACATTGATGAGTGCACGCAAAGCCCGCCATGGCGAAGACGCAGAATCGTCGCGGGACCCTTATGCTTATAGCACTGCGGCATGGGCACTTTGAGGTGGAAGGGAAATCGCAAGGTGGGCGGGGTCGGAGATAAGGGGAGACGGAAGCCCTGCTTTCGCGTTGAATTTTCGGGAGTTAAAAGTGGCGGAGAAACATTGAACTTTGACCCATAGTTCCATTATGGGGGCTTCTACTCTGTGATCTTGTTTTGCCATGGGTCGCATTCCTCCGAGCCACTGCCTTGAATGGTCCTGCCTTCAACTTTTTGCTTGCGGATACTATCAAGAACAAAATTAGCTCATGCAAGCAATCGTTTGCAGAATGAACGCGCCAAACAGTTAGGAAGGTTTTACCATCATGACTTATAATAACGGGCTAAGGATGTTTACGTGACTTTGTGTGTGTGTGTCTGTCTGTTACGAAATTCGTGGAGCGTGTTCCATCCAACGTTCTAAGCCCAAATTTTGTATAGCGCATGCTACCTTCGTGAAAGTCCAACATGCAAAAGCACGAGTAGATTCGTTGAGTGGATCCCTCAGAATTTGCGCGCCAAACGGGTCCACCTGGCTTCTGTACCGCAAAAGTCGGTCCGTATCACCACTTTTTGCAGAGTCGTGGATGAGTTTGGTAAGCAAATGTGCAAGCGATGGAGTTTAGCCAGAAAAGTGGTCGAAAGTTCACTACATAACGAAAACGGCGCCATAACGAATTGGTTGTGTAAATGGTCAATTTGCCAAGGTTCTAGCTAAGCGTTTGAGAAGATTTTCGCACAGAGATGTAGCTCACGGTTATCGTTACCTTTATGGCGACTACCAAGTCATGACAAACCCAAAAACCTATTCAAATTTGCGTTTGTCTTCCTGCGAAAAGTTTCATCCACTCGAAATCACCGATCTCACGTGAAAAGATTTTATAAATGAGTGGTTGTTTACATTTTATTCGTGGTAGTCGGCATAGTGCGGTGAGTTCCACTGCCACGATTTTACGAGAATGAATAAGGCACATAGATAGTAGAGCCAGTGCGAACCTCTGCGAAGCAGAGGTGACGCACTGGTTTTATAATATCTCCCTTGGTGCTAATAAAAGTTTGTTTTGCAGCACTCAAATCCTACCATTTTAGGAATCATACTAGATCGGTCAGAAAGTTCTGTCATTTTTATCGATCGTAACTTCCCTGAAATATGCTTCGTTATAATATCATTAGAAAGAAGAAGCCTTTATTTTGCAGTACTGTATATGCGCGTACATTCACGCTGGGAAGCAAAGAAATTTGAGAGGGGCGTCATATTTTGCTACTCTAGACGTCTGCATCAAAAGTAAAAAATCAGCTGTAGGAGAGATTTTTTTTTTCAAATCACCGTTCCCATTAAGCGACAGCATCTTGCTAAAGAATTTGGGGAGCGTTTTCTAATGAAGCTTGCAGAAAAAATTCTTCTCCACGTAATTCAGCTAACAGACTATCGGGTTGGAACTAGACAATCATCTGGACAAAAAGCTTCCGATCTTTGAAAACCTGCAAAGCAATCTCCAACTCCCCCCTCTCCTCCCCCGCCAATGATAAACGATATTGAACTTACCTACAAGCATAAATGCATGCGGGGAACCGGGTTGATTAGAGCTGGAGAAGTCTTAACTTTCCTCAGTTTTGAAAGGTCTAAGGATAAATTAACTTGGTTGGTAGTGGCTGACATGCTGGGCGCAGTAACAGAAAAAAGGAGGAGGCCAGAGGTATAAGGAGAGCTTCGGACTTTGGCTTATGGATCACCAAAGAGAGACTCTTTCTTGATGCAGGAGAGTCTGCATTTCCTCAACTGACAATGAGATATTGTCGATAGCTCAGAAAGTAGTTAGGCCATCAACTTTTTTTCTAGCGCTCATAAGTGCGAGGGTGAGAAGCAATTTGGCAGCCTGGGATATTGACGAAATGATGAATTTCTGCCAGATTACCGCAGCCATAAAGAAAGCTGGAAAAAATCTTTATATTTGTTGGCGTCGTTTTTCTGTAATGAGGTCAAAAAAGCAGGTCTTGTTGAGCATTCTTTGTACAGAATTTGGCTGCAAAGTATGCAAGGCGCGAAAGACGTAAAAGCGCGAGCGGCTTGTTCTCACTTGTGTTTACTTGAAATAATTTCTCTCATTATTCAAAAGATTAATGCAGCACTGTAACCAATTTTTTGGACATGATTAGCACAGGCCCTTTTTGAAAATTTTGGGACTCCCGCCAGAAGATTGCAAAGCATCTCAAAAAATTCTTGAAAGGGCGTTTTGTCGCCTTCTTCTCTGAAATTCATGGGACCGCCACTGAGCAATACAAGCATTACGTTTCTACAGCTCTTCAAGCTTCTCTTCAACTTCTCTCATTTTTTGTATCTTTACAAATTGTTCATGAAATTCTGAGAGCACGCTAATATGTACGAAGATAGCCCGGAGGTTCATTCTTCATTGACGCGACTCGTTAAATTTCCAAAAATGATATGGAAAAGATGAAAAATGCAGAATTTATATTCTGTATGAACATTTATACATTGGATGCGGTAACGCTCCACATATAATGAAACGAAAAGAAAAGGCTCACGAAAGTTAGGTATTTTCCCTACTTACAACTTTTACACTCAAGCATATAAGGTTGATTTTTCGCGAGGCTTATTGTGATTACTATCATATCATTTACTGTAGGATTATATTAAGTTAATGCATAACTGATGTAAAAATCTGTGAAACATATATTTGACCAGTGCGTCACCTCTGCTTCGCAGAGGCTCGCACTGGTTCTTCTGTCTATATGCCTTACCCATCCTCGCATAAGATGGCAAAACTCACCGCGCAATGCTCATTATCGCAAATAATTTGTAAACAACTACTCATTCTGAAAGCTATTCCACGTCAGGTCGGTAACTTCGCGACGATGGAATTTTTCGCTGAAGAATAAACGCAAATTTAAATCGGGTCTTGAATTCTTTTATGGCCTGGTAGTTGCCATAAGGAAAGCAATCACCGTGACCTACATCTCTGTGCAGAAATCTTTTCGAATGCTCTTGGAAAACTTGGGCTAAACCACAGTTTACACAAACAATTTCTTTGGCGCCCTTTTTATGAAGTAAGACTTTTGACCACCTTTTTGAGGCTAAAGATCATGGCTTGCACATTCACTTGCCAAACATAATCACGACTTTGCAATAAGTGGTACTGCGGACCCGATATTGCGCGCCAGACGTTAAGTGGATCCGTTTGGGGTGCGATATTTGAGGGACCCGCTCAGCGGATCTGCTCGTTCTTTGGCAAGATGAATATGGATAGTGGCAGTAGGTGATGTGTTGTCAAAAAATGCGACTTGAAACCTTGTTTACGACTGTTCTGTGAATTTCGTTACATACAGACAGACAGACACACACACAAAAACATGTAAGCACCCCCCTTATTATAAGTTATGATGGCACCAGGGCTCGGCGCGAGTTGGCTATTTCATTTTCTTAAAAACGAAGTCCACATAGATTTCGCCGCAAAAATACGACATCACTGACGCGATGATGAAGATCAAAACGAGGAACGAAAAATAACAGAACAAAAATCAAAAACAACATTGAACATGCGAGAAAGAATCAAAGATTATCCGTGTATTATTATACAGGGTGTCCCAAGAGTATGTATGCACTATTTGGTCGTTAACATCTCTCTTCCCGAGAAGTCTCTTGCCTTGCTTCAGGTACCGTTTTGTAGAGCTGGCTTCATCTTAGATTTGCGTTATCGAACGAATCACCCACCTCTCTTCTTACTGTAGGATTACGGTAGAAACTTGAGACATATGGTGTCAATTTGGAAAAAGCTGCCGTTTCAAGATTTTTCAAAAAAAAATGTGAAAACTTGTATAATAGGGATTTTGTGGACGCTGAATTCAATACTCAACTATTCACAAGATTTCGAAGCTTTCTAAACGGTGTAACCGCACTTTTTAGGAACATTGAAACAATGGCCGCTACCTCTTACCCGGCATAACTCTTCAATGAAGCATCATAAAGAGTTGTGAACTTTACAGTTAGAATCAACAACTCTAATTAGCCTGGTGCAAAAGTTTTCAGGCTGTTTTGTTTCCTTTCTGAGGCAAAACATAGCCTTTCTTGGCCCAGAACCCTCTTTGAGGTTTCTACCGTAATCCTACAGTAGTCAAAAGAGATGGGTGATTCGTTCTTTACTGCAAATCTAAGTTGAAGCCATCTCTACAAAACGATACCTGAAGCAAGGCAAAAGATTTCTTGGGAAGAGAGATACTAAAGATCAAACAGTGCATACATACTTTTGGGACACCTGTTGTTATATTAAGTTGTCCCGAAAGTTTTGTCCGTTTTTTCAACCTATCATAAAAACACGTGGAGCGAAGATAGAGAAACGCTCTAAGAGCTACTCGACGCATCTTTTCCTCCTTTTTTTAACTGTCATGCTCCCATGTCGATTACTCTTTTGCTTACTGAGATAAGGGCCAAATTTCGAACCCGTGGTTTTTACTATGTTCAAGTTTGGCAATTTTTCACAGCCTTCATTTTCAACTTTTGGAAGTCCTTTGATCTCAGATAGAGTGAACAAAGGGCAATGCAATGCAATTTTTTGGCTTGACCAGCTGGCACTTCAGTATTTTTTTTTAAAAATTTCCAAAAGTCTTCACTTTTGGGAAGTCCCAAAATACAGAAACGCCTCGAACACTAACAAA